TGAGAACTTGAAAGCATGAGAATAATTTCTTATTGATTGATAGCACGAAGTTGCTTGATAAGTTTATGTGTTAGCATGAGATAGGATGGTTATTGAAATGTTATACAGAATTGAGATTTGCTATGTTAAGTATGTGATAGTATGAGCATGTTGTTAGGTTGATATTGTTGAAGTATGTCTATTTGATATCATAGGTTGCGAGCATATAGAAAGCTTGTAGTTTATCTTAAAGTTTGCCTAAGTGTTTGAGATTGCTTAATTTGAGTATGTGGGCAAATGTTTTTCCAAAGTATATACTGTAGTACTTTACAGGGTGGAGTGTGGTTATACTTAGCTTCATGCTAACGGGTGTTTTCTACTTGTCTACTTGTTGTTTTGCAAAACCCCTTTCAGGTGGGCCCAGCGTTTAAGAGTTGTTCGAGTTGGACTAGTTTAGTAGATCTAATAGTCTAAACTCTGTTTATTTTTATGATGTCATGATGATGGATTATAGACTTATGTTATTTATGTTTGGTGATAGGCACCGGTGTGTTTTTTCCCCCAAGTGACTTTAATTAAGTATTTCAATGTTAGTTTGACTTAATGACTTAGTTCTACCCTTAGCCTGTGCAATCACCGTGGAGAAGTGGTTGTGACAGTGACATTCCCACTAGTTTGTTATTTAAGTTTGTTTATCCGCTGCTTAGTTTATCTTGTTTTTTGTTTTAGATATGTAAATAAGTTTAAGAAAAGTGGGGTGTTACAGCCGAGCCCTGGGAGCAAAACCAAGATTAGAGGAGCCCCTCTCTAGAGGCAGCACCATGAGAGATCCAAATTATGCACGAAAAAAGGAAACAAAGAAAATGGACCAAACACAAGCAAAGAAACCAAAAGAAAGATAAGAAACCAGCAACCCAGAACCCAGATTAACTAGGAAAGGAGCCACACTCTTGGCCAAAGCTAGAATCCTCATCAAGGTCAGCAAAGACTTCTTCCTCCATCATATTATCAGTTGGTTCATGGATGGGGGTGGGGGGTCATTGGGTTTTCTCCTATGAAAGGAGCCGCTTGTCTGCTCTGAGTTCTCGGCCTAATTGTATTGGGTTTCTCCGATGAATTCTCTCCTTTAAAGCCGCTTGTCTCTCCATTTTGCATGCCTATGTCGATGGCTCTCTTATCCAAACTGGGGGCATTATCTCTCGCCTTAGAAGAAGAAATGGGTGCGCTAGCGTTTGAACCCAGTGGTTTTTTTCCCGGCGTTTGGACTCATAATTTAGGACCTAATTGGGCAAAGAGAACATTAACCACACCATGGCTACAAAATCTGACTTTGCCCTGCCAAAAGACACCCAACATATGAAATGACTCTTTTACCCCTTATTTAAACGTCTAACTAACGGAAGGACTAATGGTGGAACGATTCTGATAGTCAAGGGTTTAATTCGTCCAAATTAAAAGACGATGACAAAATGTGGAAAATCACAATAGTCGGAGGACCTTTGCTGGAATTAACTCAAAACTAAAATTAAGAGCAAAAGAAACATTTTTTTGAGAAATTGGTGGGGTAAACCGCGTTTGAAAAAAAATTGTCGAAAACGAACAACCGAGTCAAAAGTTATGCATTTGCAAAGTTTTTAACCTAAACTCTATAAAAAAAAAAAAAATTGGCGGTTCGGCCGGCTAGGTGCCCGGCCGCGGAGGAGGCCGATTTTGGCCTTCCTCGCCGCGCCCAGGCGCGATTTTTGCAACATTGGTCTATAGTAATATTTATATACATAAACTTTGTTTTTATGAGAATTATGAACCTACTAATCTACTATAGAGTGAATGTAAATACATATGATGTATATTTAGTTAAGTGTTTATGAATATTAATGTTTATGTTTATATACATATAGAACAAATATTATGAGTATAGCACACAATGAATATTACTAAACATGGTCTGTTCATAGTATACTGGCTATTAACATTAAGCTTTTTTTTTTTTTTTTTTTTTTTTTTTTTTTTTTTAAATTTATGAACATATAGAATGAATATTATGAACCAACTTTAGATGAATGAAAATGCATATAATGTATATTTAGTTTTGTGTTTATGGACACTAAGGTTTGATTTATGAACATATAGAACAAATATTATGAACATAGTCTATGATAATGCTATTAAATATGATGTATTAATTGACATTTGATATAAAATGATGTAAGTTTTGGACCAGGATCCACCATGGAAGGTGACCCTGATCCACCATGGAAGCAACACACGCATGACCTGCATTTACTAAAGAAATATATATATTTTACCATTCTCATTATAAATGTTGTCCTGAATTCTTAATTTTTTGAATGAGGATGGGCAATGCATACCCATGTTCAGACAGTTCAGGGCCAACATTTATACTAGGCCACTTATGTGACATTTATAATTGCTCTATAAGTTACGGTAAGAAATTACAATTTTCTCTTTCATATTTAGATTTTAAATATTTATATTATTATTGTGTAGTACTGTAGTAATAATAATAAGTATACCAACCACCATAACAACAACAACAATAATAATGTAAAACATTTTCATAAATTTGGTAGTTATATTTTAAAAAATAATTAATTAATTCTTAATAATTTTTTTTTTTGAAAACGAAAATATAATACGAAGTAATAAACAAATAAATAAATGCTTAGATTCGAACCCATGTCATCCCATAGTGTTGCAGCGATCATTTTCCAATGCTTTAAATCTAAATGAAATCAAATTTATTTATTATAGAGAAAATTATGCTTTTGGTCCTGTGACTATAGTGGGCGTGTTAATTTCAGTACTTAACTTTAAAAACTAATAATTTAGTCCTGTAACTATATAATTTTTAATACATTTGGTCCTCCAAGCCAAATCACCGGCCAAATGTCGCCAGAAAAATGTAAATCTGATTAAATTATTTACTCATGGGCAAAATGGTCATTTTCTTCTTCTCCTTCCTTGACATGTTGGCCGGAATTGCAGCTAGACACCTGGATTTGTTCTCTTCGTTTCCCCCACCATCGCCGCCGCCACCCTCCGCCTCTTCTTCCATGACTGCTTCGTCAACAAACTCCCAGAATTTGGACTGGATTTTTCTAAAGCGATGGACAAACTAATGATTCCAGCACCGATTATCACAACATCGAAGGAGCCAGACGCGGAACTCTGCTTTGAACCGGCAACACGAAGCGGCACGTATCCAGTCCTACGAGTTTTGTCAGTTCAAACCGAAAATGAGAGCGGTTCATAACCGACAGCAAGTTTGTGTCCAAACAAGTTTGAATTCTAACGTACAAGACAGGCTGTATAATCTTATTTCGAGGAACCAAATGGACGCCATTGCTGTTATGTTTGACGCCATTACTGTTATGTGATTTAGAAAAATCGAGTCCAAATTCTGGGAGTTTGTTAAGCCCGCCTGGCCGCCTCCGCCTTCGCCGGCCGACTACCTCGTTGGAAGCCAAGCCCGACTCTGACTCTGTTGATTTTTTAGAATTTAGATATCATAACCTGCATATTAGACTACAATTTTAATAATTTCGTTCTTTTGTATAGTCCATTGAGAAATGAAAAGAAGACTAGATCTGTACTTTAAGTACACATCCGGTAAGACAATCCATCACCTTCCATTTTCTTCTTGGATGCATTCCAGTGACCAGTGAGCATATTTTAGCTTCCTTTACATCAATGTTAAACACCATGGGAATAGTAAAAGATAGGGAAAGCCTCGATTTGGTCAGCATGGCTCTAATGGCGGCCTCGATTTGCATGTACCGGAGAGAAAACAGAGCTGGAAGAAGAAGAAATGGCTTATTTCGAAGGCGATTGTGCTACCCTTCAGTTCAGAGCGGAAGGTGTGTTTCTTCGCTCATAATCGCCATTTTTGTAGGTGCCGGAGATTTCGAAGGAGAAGAAATGACTTAATGACCATTTTGCTCCCATAAATAAATAATTTAAAAAGTTTATTTTTTTCTGACGATATTTGGCCGGGTGGACCAAATGTGTTAAAAATTGCATAGTTACTGGACTAAATTGTTAGCTTTTAAAGTTGAGTATTGAAATTAACAAGACCTTAATAGTCAAGATCAAAAGTGTAATTTTCTCTTTATTATATTACTGTAGCTAATATATAATGTCTACCTATATTATTAGCATTGAAAAATATTAAGAAAAGATATTATATAAACATGTGCATTGTAATAATAATGATAACAGATAATAGAAGTTATAATGGTAAATTATATGTTTATTTTATTTATAGATAGATTAGAGTGGATCCTCGATAGTACTAAAAAAATTGTGTATTTTGTGTAATTGAGTCGTTATCTTTTTTCTTGGAGCCTACGCAACTCAATACTATAAATTCGCCACCCACAATTCTTCTTTTCTCACTCTCATCCTAATCCTAATGGCTCCAATTCAACTCCTCGGTCCACCTGAGATCGATCGCGCCCACCTTCCCTCCGTCTCCGATCACGGCGGCGAAACTAACACTCCGCCCATCATCGATACCCATGTCACCGATTTATCTACCAAAAGCCAGGGGATTAAGCTCGACCCGAGCCGCCCTTTGATGGGTTTCACCGAGAATTGCTCTGCCACATTCCTCTCCTCCGGCAACCCCTGCTTGGACTTCTTCTTCCACGTGGTTCCGGACACGCCGCCGCAGGATTTGATCGGGCGGCTGGATGTGGCGTGGGCCCACAATCCCTTGACCACTCTGAAGCTGATCTGTAACCTGAGGGGAGTGAGGGGGACCGGCAAGTCCGACAAGGAAGGGTTCTATTTGGCGGCGCTTTGGCTCCACTACAACCACCCCAAAACCCTCTCTGGTAATCTCAAGGCCCTTGTTGAGTTTGGGTATTTTAAAGATTTTCTTGAAATTCTGTATAGGATTTTAGAAGGACCCTATGTGAGGAAATTTGAGAAGGAGCAGAGAATGGAGAAGTCCCGCCAGAAGATGCTTCGTCGATTCAATTACCCGGAAAACGATGAAGATGATGATGAGGAAAATGAGGAGAAAATCAACAAGGATTCGGAGGAATTGTTGTCTGAGAAGGATGAAATCAAAAAGGATTCGGATGAATTGTTGTCTGAGAAGGATAAAATCAAAAAGGATTCGGATGAATTGTTGTCTGAGAAGGATGAAATCAAGCAGAATCCGGAGGAATTGATGTATGAGAAGGAGAAAGTCAAGAAGAAATCGGAGGAATTGATGGCTAAGAAGGAGAAAATCAAGAAAACTCCAGAGGAATTGATGGCTGAGAAGGAGAAAGCAAAGGCTGAGAAGGAGAAAGCAAGGGCTTTAAGAAAGCAGAGAGAGCTAAACAAGGCAGTAAAGGCTTTACAAACATACAATACTGATGAAAAATATAGGTTACTACATGACAAAATTTCCGATCTTTTTGTAGAAATGCTAGAGGCTGATGTTGAAAAATTGAATTCAGGGAAGCTTGGGGACATCAGCTTGGCTGCAAAATGGTCCCCCACTATTGATTCATCATATGATAAGAGCACTTTAATTTGTGAAAGCATTGCAAGAAAACTGTTTCCTAAGGATAAGTACATGGAATATGAGGGCTTAAAGGAGGCAGTTTATGTTTATAAGGTGAGAGACAGACTGAGAAAGCAAGTTCTTGTGCCTTTGCACAAGGCATTGGAGTTGCCCGAGGTGTATATGAGTGCCAAGCAATGGAACTTGCTGCCTTACAAGCGGGTAGCCTCGGTTGCAATGAAGAACTACACGAAGAAGTTTTCGAAGCATGATAAGGAGAGGTTTGGTGAGTATCTTAAGAAGGTGAAGACTGGGGAGGCAAAGATTGCAGCCGGGGCATTGCTTCCTCATGAGATCATAAAATCATTGGAACGTGCAGCCCCGGAGGAGGCAGAAGTTGCAGAGGTTGCCGAGCTGCAGTGGAAAAGAATGGTGGAAGATCTTGGCAAGAAGGGTAAGTTGAGTAATTGCATTGCTATATGTGATGTGTCTGGGAGTATGTATGGAATACCTATGGAAGTCTGTGTGGCATTAGGAATCTTAGTTTCTGAATTAAGCGAAGAACCATGGAAGGGAAGGCTGATCACTTTCAGTGAAGATCCTCAGCTTCATAAAGTCGAGGGTGAAACCCTGCTGGAAAAGACTAGATTTGTCCAAGAAATGAATTGCGGTATGAACACAAATTTCCAGAAAGCGTTCGATAGGATCTTGGAGATTGCAGTGGAGGGGAATCTGAGGGAGGAACAAATGATTAGGAGGGTGTTTGTGTTTAGTGACATGGAGTTTGACGAGGCATCAGAAGATTCTTGGGAGACTGATTATGAAGTCATAGAGAGGAAATTCAGGGAGAAGGGGTTCACAAATGTTCCAGAAGTTGTGTTCTGGAACCTCAGATCTTCAGGGTCCACTCCTGTTGTGGCCAACCAGAATGGTGTGGCTTTGGTCAGTGGGTTCTCCAAGAATCTGCTGACCATCTTCTTGGAAAATGGTGGCATCGTGAACCCTGAGGAAGTCATGGAGATTGCCATTTCTGGGGAAGAGTATAAGAAGCTTGCTGTTCTTGATTGATTTTGTAGTGTTCTTACTTTAAAAGTTATAGCTTTACTTCTGGGCAGTATCAAGTAGATGGCAAACAATTCTGTTATCTTTAATGCTTTGTACTTTTCTGCTCTCTATAACACAATGAAATATACAGTTATTGCCAAATAATTGTGGTGTATATGTTTCCTCTGTCAAGTTGAATTAGTGTCATCATCTTCTTCTGTCTATTTCTCTTCTTCCATTTTCTTATTTTTGGTTCACAGTTTAACTCCCTTAATTTTATACTTGAATGTAACATAAAAAGAGAGGAAACTTGAGAGAGTTGCATAGTGTAATAACACCATTTCAAATAAATCAAAATTAACTGATAAGCTAACTATGATACCAAATAGGGTTTATATTTTTTCCTTTCTTCAAAAGCCATTGATTATAAGCCAGTCCTAGTAACCAACTTGGTGGAGAAGCATAGAAGGGAGAAACCGATGGTGGAGAAGGAGAATGCAATAGCCTTGAGAAAGCAGAGAATGCAATGAAGCCATGAAGGGTTTACCATACATTACTGATGAGAAGTACAGGTTGCCACATTGTCAATTGCCCACATCCAAAACCATCAAGTTTTTACTTTCTTTGGTAAAAGCTTTGTTTTGTCCCACATCGAAATTGTACTAAACAGTCAACCTTCTAATAAGTATGCTATGTAAACTCCATGATTGGCAATTGACAAGGTCTTTAATCAAAACAAACTCAAAAACCAAACTCAATTGCCATTTTAGATCCCACACTAACAACCCCAAAGCATTCTATCATATTATTATTCCATTAATTCATTCATGACAACTGAAAGAACAGGGTTTAACCAACTGAAGAGAATTTTGCTTGGATAAATTGGACAGATTCCTTATCAATCCTGAAAGCTTTGGACAGAACATCCTCGGATATTGCCGGATCCGACCCAAACAACCCATCTGCGACGGTGATCACCCCCGGATTCTGGCTATTGAAAGCCGTAAACATCGTGGCGTTGCCGGCTCCGACGTTGTACATAAAATGGATAAGCCCCTGCGGGATCACAAAAGCATCTCCGCCGTTCAGCGTCTTCGCAAACAGCCGATTCTTCCCGCGATTCCTCGGATCAACGGCCACAAATCCTGCATAAACGGTGCCCTGCACCACCAGAATGAACTCACAAGAACGAGGATGCGTGTGAGGTGGAATCAGCCCGCCCGGTCCAAGCTCCGACCGAACCACCGTGAGCCCCAGCGTGTTCCCTATAGCGTCCCGGGAAACGCCGCCGTCCCTATAGCGTCCAGACCAGAAGCGAAGAAATCGTCCGCCGTCGCAAGTTTCGGATCCTTACACACCCTTCCGTTCATGAAAACTGTATATATATATATATACCAATTAACCAAAAAGTTCAAGAAATTAAAACTGCATTATATTTTACTTATAAGAATCAAAAGAAGAAAAGAAAAGGGTAATATATATATATACCAGCATGCTGAGGATCATTTACTGCAACGCAGAAGTCTTGGAGAGGGCTTGGATCATAAGCATAAGCAACTGAAGAAGTAAAAGCAACAATGCATAAGGTTACTAGGAAACCAGCGGCCATTGTTGTAGCTAGTATGAATATGAGACCATATTCAATATAATGCTAGTATTATATATTCAAAAATTGATTGATATATGAAACACTTCTACATATTTTGGAAAAAAATAGCAATGTAATCACTTAAAATATCATTTTCATGCTAATTTTTTCAAACACTTGTATCATTTTAAAATAAGTTATTATTTTAAACTCGTTATATTTTACCAAACAAAGCTTATAGCTTTTTTTTTTTTAACTGAAAATAAGATATAAACTTTAAAATAAGTTTTACTAAACAAAACTTGTATACATTTGGAAATGATTTTTCGCGATCAGCTTACAACTTCAAATCAAGCTTAGGAGAAAAAAATTTTAAAAATAAAAAAGTAATAAAAATTGAGGTGTTGTTTTCGTCCCGAGCGCAACTTGCAATGATGTGATATATACAATGTAAATTATTGCTTCTTTTAAAATTCGTGTACCATACTTTGTCTCATATAATTATGATTTTTATAATTGTAACTATTGATGAATTGATAGAAACTTTTTAATTACTTTATAGTTTATACACGTTAGTCAAATTAAATTATTTTAAATGTAAGGTCCAAATGTCACTCCAGGCCAAATTATGAGGTTAATTACTCAATGACACATCAATTTAATGGAATTAAATAATTCATGATAAACTTAAAATTTTGGTTAAACTATATCTAAAAACTAATAAGTGTGAATACATATTTTACCATTCATTTATGTTCGTTTTTCCGTTATATGTTTTTATACATTATGCTATAAGAATTATACTATACAATATTTTGGACAAACATATTTTTACTATTATAACTTCCATTATCTTTTTCAATATTATATTGTTACCATGCACATGCATCCACCATATATTTTCTTATCTTCTTCAGTAGTAATAATAATAATAATAATAATAATAATAATAATAATAATAATAATAATAATAATAATAATAATATACACTTTTTTGCCCGCATGGGCAGCTCAACTGGTCATAGAGGTGAAAGTTGGAAAGAAGGACCAAGGATCGAGAAGTGGGAGCAACCTCTCAAAGTGAGGGGGCTACTTGTGAGCAGTAAGCAAAAGGTCTAGTCTCTGTGGTTCATGTTCAGTTGAGTTACCATGATAAAAATATATAAAAGTATTTTACATTATTATTATTTACAATAATATAAATATCTAAAATCTAATATAAGGATGTGTTTGGAAACCCGGAAAATGATTTCTGGAAATTATTTTCCAGGTTTCTAATGTTTGGAAAGAAGGAAAATTTGAAGTCAACTGAAAATGAGGTATTGGTCAATGGAAAATGAGCCTATTTTTAAGGAAAACAACTTCCCCTTTAAAAAAGGGGAAGTCATTTTCCGGATGTTGACTTCTTCATTTCTTCACTTCAAGAGCAGTAGACTTTCTTCATCTTTATTGACTTCTTCATCCTTTGGATTTTGGGCTCACTGGTTTCTGGTAGGTTTCCGCCGGAAACCTGAGCACTGGTTTCCTAAGCTTTGGTTTCCGCCGAAAACCAAAGGTTATTTTTAAAAAAATAATAATAATAGTAAACAACCCATCTGGTTTCCGCGCAGAAACCAGATCTTGGTTTCCAACGCGAAAACCAGATGGTTTCCTGCCGGAAGTCATGGTTTCCGGCGGAAACCAGATCTTGATTTCCGCCGGAAACCAATGAATATTCTGTTTTTTTTTTTTTAAATAAATAATATTATTTGATTTTAAAAATAAATATTATTATTTAAACAAAATAATTAATTATATAAAATGTTTAATTATACATTTCTTCATCATTTTCAGAAAATAAGCCAAACACCAAAAGACAGTTTTTCATTATGCGGCCAAACACAGGAAAGGAAAATGGCTTTTGAAAAATGACTCATTTTCTAAAAGTCATTTTCCAGAAGTCATTTTCATGCTTTTCAAACGGACCCTAAGTAAATGATTGAAGAAAGCTATTATAGGTAAAAGATGATGTTTAATCTCATCCCTTGATCTAATCAAAATCAACCGCCCATATTGAAAATAACTTTAAAAAAAATGAGGTGACAAGTTTGTATAGTTGATGCCTAGACGACCTAATCGGTGCCTAGGAGGCTTAGGCAGCCTAGTAACTCGCCTAGCCGGTCAACCAATGATGGTGATACGCTAGGCTACCGGTCAGTGCCCAACATTATTAATTGGTACGTAGACGGAATTTTTTTATCACAACAAACTCAAAATTAAAAAACCAAACTCAATTGCCTTCTTGGATAACCGCAAAACACTCTTATCATATTAGTATTCCATTATTCATTCATGACAAATGAAAAAAACAGGGTTTAACCAACTGAAGAAAATTTTGCTTGGATATGTTGTACAGATTCCTTATCAATTCTGAAAGCTTTAGACAAAACATCCTCGGATACGGCCGGATCCGACCCAAACAACTCATTTGCGAGGGTGATAAACCCCGCATTCTGGCTATTGAAAGCCGTAAACAGCGTGGCGTTGCCGGCTCCAACGTTGTGCGTAAAGTGGATAAGCCCCTGCGGGATCACAAAAACATCTCCGGCCTTCAGCGTCTTCTCAAACAGCCGAGTCTTCCCCAGATTCCTCGGATCAACAGCCACAAATCCTGAATACACGGTGCCACGCACCACCAGGATGAACTCGCAAGAACGAGGATGCGTGTGAGGTGGAATCAGCCCGCCCGGTCCAAGCTCCGTCCGAACCACCGTGAGTCCCAGGGTGTTCATCCCGGGTATGCGGTTCACGTCCGCCACGTTCACCGACATGCTCAGCTCGGGAAACGCCGCCGTCCCAATAGCGTCCAGACCAGAAGTGAAGAAATCATCCGCCGTCGCAAGTTTCGGATCCTTGCACACCCTTCCGTTCATGAAAACTGCATATATATATAATATACCAATTAATAACCAAAAAGTTCAAGAAAACTAAGGCCCTGTTTGGTAAATGATTTTTAGCTGATAACTGATAGCTGTTAGCCGATTGCGTTAATTAGAGAGTATAACTAGTTGATAATAGCTGATTATAGAAAGATGTTTGGTAAATTAGCGGTTAGCTTATAACTGCTTGGTATAATTTCTTTTCTCAAAAAGTTAATTGAAAAAGTTGCTTTGAGTAGCTTTTTGAATTTTAACATTTTGGAGTATAAAAAGCTAATTAGTCCAAACACTTGTATTGATTTTTAAACCAAATCAAACAACTAATAGTGGTCAAATAAGTGAAAATTGATGTATATGCTAACTATTTTACCAAACAGGGCCTACATACTTTTTGACTACTTCTGACTTTGTTATAATATAGTATCTGTTCAAGAAAACTGCATATATTTTACTTATAAGAATCAAATTAAAGCACAAAAGAAAAGGGTAATACCAGCATGCTTGGGATCATTTACTGCAACACAGAAGTCTTGGAGAGGGCTAGGATCATAAGCATAAGCAAGTGAAGAAGTAAAAGCAACAATGGATAATGTTACTAGGAAACCAGTGGCCATTGTTGTATATAGATAGTGTGAATATGAGACAATATTCAATATAATTCTAGCATTATATATAGGAATTTACATGATGTACAAAATGAACCGCGTTTAATTTGTTACACATTGCACATTGTTTTTCACCCACACATTGTACCGGAAACTAGTATACTGTATATAATGGAATGCATCAATGACATTCTAAAAGATGTTGCCATTACGGGGGACAATATAAGTTGAGGACTTATTTCACCTAACACAATAAGACATATGTCTTCTAATTTGTTTAATCACTTATCTATTCGGGAAGTTATGGACAATACATCTATCTAATCTTAACAATGGGGGTTTTATTTCAGATTTGTTGATATCAAGGAAAAGAGAGGAAATTTTTTTTTAAAAAAAAAAGGAAAAAGAAAAGAAGCCAAAAACTGCAAACGTGCCCAACCGGTAGGTGCAGGGGATTGTGGTTGTGCTCTAAGATGGGCAGATCTGACTAAAATGTCACATGGGTACTCCGTATATATATATATATATATATATATATATATATATATATATATATATATATTTACATTCAGGTAAAAACACATCTTAAAATACAAATATGTGGACAATTTAACACCATTGGATGGTGGTATTGGACGGTCCTGATTTTTTTCTCCTACGTGCTATGTGCATGTAAGTATGTTAATGTGTGCACGAGCTTTGATGGACGATTGTGATTTTTCCTCATACGCGATGTGTGCATGTGAGTATGTTAATGTGTGCACGTGCTAATCCCAGAAATTGTTGGCAGTACGCCCTGTGAGCATGTAAGTGTGTTAATGTGTGCACGAGCTCAAGTTTGTATTTTAAAAGGAGTTTGTATTTGAATGCAACCATATATATATATATATATATATATATATATATATATATATATATATATAATTGACTCATTAAATCAGCTAAAATTGTACTATTGAAATCAAAATACACGGTAAACTGATAATGTGTTCAGTTGTCAATTTGTTTCTAGTCTAGTGTGGATATCATTAAACAATACTCAATGTTTTTTTTTTTTTTTTTTTTTTTTTTGAATGCTACTAGTTCTATTACATTGTAGTATCTGTTCATATACTTTCTCAACCTACTGAAACACAAAGAACCAATAACGCCTCCACTAAGACTCGAACTTACAACCTTCCAAATGGAAATCCAACCCGGGTCCCGCCTTCAATGTTAGTATTATATATATATATATATATATATATATATATATATATATATATATATATATATATATATATATTTTTTTTTAGATATTGAAGACTACTCTTCAGAATTCTAATTGTTATTTTATATATATGTTGTTTTCTTGGAGGCGTACGTATATTGGCATATGCTTCGTGATCAACTTACAACTTCAAATCAATCTTGAGAATACAATTTTTTTTAAAACACGTAATAAATAATTAATTAAGCTGGTGTTATCGTCCCCGGCTTGCTATGATATAATTTTTTTCCCATACAATAGTAGTAATAATATATTTGGTTTGATATTTATAAGATTTTTTTAGAAAAAAAAATATAATAACCTTCGAAGACATCTATCTATTGTTGTCGACTTCACTCTCCCAGTTACATTTGTCTTTTGCCTAAATTTTTCTAGATCGTATTGAGATGACTTCATGTTCGTCCTTTCTTAGGGAAGAAGACGAATTGAAGGCTGGCCTACCATGACAACCAACTTTTTTTTTTTTTTTTTTTAATTTAATCAAAACCATATTCTTGTTTTATATATTGCAAATTTGCAATGTTCTTTAATGAAATCGTTCAATGACTTGAAGTCTGGAACATCTTTCAATCAACTTTATTTGATATCAAATCGTAAAATGTATTTTATTATTTAATTGATATTTATATAGTTTTCCCCATAATAAAAATATATAAAAGTTTAAAAAAAAAATGTAAAGATGAAGAAGTGGTGATGGTATGGTGACGCAAGGAATGACGTAAGCTCCATGTTTCAATAATGGTTTCATTGACTCATTGGTGAACAGTTTAATGTGCTATTTTTTTTTTATAAAAAAAAAAATTACACTCCAAAGTATTCTTATGCACTCTTTATAAAAGTCAGACCTTTGACCTATAATTATATTTACAATTTACTAGTATTTGCACTCGTGCGATGCACGGAATGGATTTGTTGTAATATATTAAGAATATATGAATCGATATATAATTATTTAAATTAGAACATCAAATATTATATAGTGCAATTAAATATATGGTTTGGATCGTTTATATATTTTGATGTTATCATTGCTTGAATTTGTGCAAATAATTGCTCAAATTAATAGCTAATATCTAGATGTACGCATACAGTGCTATAACTTTGAAGATTTTATTTATCATTGTTTAGAATTTTCATAAATTAGAAAAATGTGCCCGTTCTCTAACAACTCAGTTATAGAAATGAATTGGTATGCTTATTCATTTGTATGGAAGATATATTTTTTTGTCTAGATATATAACAATTTATTCATTAAAAAAAAAAAACTTAATATCACCTGATGGGGTGAGAACCCCGGCCCAAGAAAAGAGGCCCAGAAAGAATGCATGGGCCGAGTCCAGGACTCGGCCCAGGTCCAAAGAAGGAGGCCCAGTTCGGAGCCCGGAAGGACGGCCCAATGCCGAACGGGGGCGAGGAGTCGGCCCAGGCACGACCCAGGAGAGGACCCGGTCCAGAGAGCCGTTGAAGGAGCCTTCAGAGCAGTTAAGGCAAGGAGCCGTTGAGGCATTAAAAGGTCGGACTCGGTCCGCCAGTTACCGGCCAGAGAGAGCCGTTGGCAGAGTCCGTAACGTCGCCCAACGGCTCGGCGCATTAAATGTAATCTTGAAGTCGGCCATCATGAGCCTTTAAGTCAGTAGAGGAGGAGCCACTATAAAAAGGGCTCCTCCACCCTTGTAAGAGGCAGATGGGAGAACCCGGAGAGGGAATAGAGAGCACTATTGAGCATCATACTTCACTAAAAAATCTAGACTTTTTGTGAAAGGTGTATCCTCCAGCTTAAGGTTGTGTTGGACCTCCTTGGGCCCGAAAACCCAAAAACCATCACTGGTACCGTCTGTGGGGATCGAACGAAGAGTTGCGTGCCTTCTGAGCAAAGCGGGTCCGAGAGATCATCAAGAAGAGTCCTGGGCGTGGGGAATTGAAAGACTTTACCATGACAGGAAGCCAAGAGCAATTGAGCCGACGCAATGGGCTAGGAGCCGACCTAAGAGATCAATTGAATCGAAGAAGCACCCGAAGCCGGGAAGACGACGCAACACCACCACCAACACCGCAGGTAAATACACAGCCGACTGCGGTACCACTCACCCCGGATCAACTACACGCGATAGGACGCGCTTTTGCCGAGGCAAGTCGGGGAATACGGGAGCAATCCGCTACTCGGATACCGCAACAAGACCCCCCACCGCCGCGAAGGCCGGACAATCGACAGTCAACCCGCCGGGCGGTGAGTCAACCCGTCCAGTCCGTTCATTCTCGGCTAGGCCCCGGTGTCGAGCGACGGTCGGCAAGAGAACGGCTGGGACGAAGAGAACCCCTCCGCGCTCCGGTAGAAACTCACGGTCGGCAGAGCACACGTGAGCGTAGCCGTGCGGGGAAAGGCCGGACGGTGGCTCGCCGCGTGGGGCAGCCCGCCCGAGACCACGATCAACCCGCCGAGTCAGGGGTTGGCGAAAGCGCGGAATCGACAGGAAACCACACCCAAGAGAGGGTCGAAATGGCCAACCTAGCCCAAGAGGTGAAAAATCTGAAAGAGCAGGTAGAAGGAAGGACCAAGGCCCCCGGACGAGCACTGCTAACCGCGTTACCCTTCTCCGCTGAGATCATGGCCTTTAAGGTACCGGGCGACTTTAAGTTCCCGGAGCAAGCCACGCTCGACGGATCAGGCGACCCACGAGAACATCTGTTGAGTTACCAAGCTAAGATGCAAGTCCTAGGAGTGCGGGATCCGGTCATGTGTCGTGCCTTCTTACCCACGCTGAAGGGGCCCGCCCAAAGGTGGCTTGTAAGTCAGTCCCCAGGGTCGATTCACAGCTTCGAGGAACTGGCAGACCGCTTCATGAGCCACTATGCCGCTAACATCAAGCCACAGAAGGATCTGACACACTTAGGCGACATTCATCAGGATGAAGGCGAGTCCTTGAAAGCCTATCTCGCTCGCTGGCAAAAAGAGATCCAGTCAATAGAAGAAGTGGAGGACCAAACAGCGCTCACCTTCTTCATTGAATCTTTGCGATCCGGACAGCTGTATCGGGACCTAAGGGACAACCGCCCGGCGACGTACGCGGAGGCTATTCAGATGGCCAACAAGAGGGCCAACACAGAGCATGCCATGAAGCATAAACGACAGCGCGAGGTCGGTGGGTCCGCCGGCGGAAAAAGGACGCGGGCGGAGACGAGAGAGAGGCGCTCGGATGCAGTCCGGCGACCCGAGGCCAGGCGACCGTATGACCGCCCCGTCGTTCACACCTATCGACCGGTTCCAGAGCGACCGGTCCACGAAGTACAGGCGGTCGCCCCGCCTCCGCCTCCGCCGATTGACGACCGTGCAGTAGACGAGGATACAGGTAAGACTTCTAAATATTGTCGCTATCACAAAACTTATACTCACAGCACGGAAGAATGCTACTATCTAAAAAAGATCATGGAGGGGATCATCCAACAAGGAACACCGCCCCCTAACCAATGGAAGCGAAGGTCGACCAGTCGGGGAGGCGAGGGACCCGCCGCCGACACAGAAAACAGCCGAGGCAAGCAGCCGGCTTCCGAAGAAGACGAAGCCCAATGGCGCCAGAAGCCGGTCATTAACATGATAGTCGGCGGGCCAGAAGGCGGCGATTCCGCGAACACCCGAAAAGCCTGGGCTCGGCAGCTATATGTCGGAACAGTCTATGGTCGAGAAGAGAGTTCCAAAAAGATATGCCGGGAGCCCATCGTGTTCACCGATAAGGACCTGCCAGCCGGGGAAACCCCGCATCGAGACGCGTTGGTCATCACCATGGACATCAACGGTGTGGTCGTTCGCCGAATCCTGGTCGACACCGGGAGCAGCGTCAACGTACTGTACCTGGAGACCTTTACCAAGATGGGGCTGACCCGAGCACAGCTCAGACCCGTAAACACCCCTCTCGCCGGTTTCACCAGGGACTCGGTGGAGGCGGAAGGGTCCATCACTCTTCCTGTGGAAATCGGCAGCTATCCGAACGTACAACAGTTGAGCATGAAGTTCATCGTGGTCGATCTAGCCTGCTCACACAACGCCATACTCGGCCGCCCGGGTTTAGAAGACCTCGGGGCCCTAATCTCAATCGAACATCTATGCCTGAAGTTTCGCACGCCGAACGGAATAGGAACGGTGCGTTGTGACCGCAAGGTCGCCCGCAATTGTTATCTGCAAGCATGTAGAGGAATGGGCAAGCGCGGGATGCAGGTCCATGAGATCACCGAGAGGCCCCCTAAGAAAATAGTGATACCTCGCCCAGAGCCGGCCGTCGAGCTAGAGGAAATTGAGATTGACCCAGCACAGCCGAGCAGGCGAGCGAGAATCGGAGTCGGCCTTTCGGAGAAGTTGAAGGGGGAAATCACGAAAGTACTCCAAGAGCACCGGCTGGTTTTCGCCTGGGGCCCAGAAGATATGCCCGGCGTAGATCGATCGATCATATCGCATCGACTCGCCGTAGACCCAGAGCACCGGCCGGTCGTGCAAAAGAAACGGTACTTGGCCAACGACCGGAGGGAGTTTGTGAAGAAAGAAGTCAGCACGCTGTTAACAGCCGGGCACGTCCGTGAGGTCAAGTACCCGGAATGGTTGGCTAACGTGGTCCTTGTGCCCAAGCCCCCGACGTGGCGAATGTGTGTAGATTACACTGATCTTAACAAAGCATGCCCAAAAGATCCGTTTCCTCTGCCCCGAATCGACCAGTTAGTCGACGAGACGGCCGGGTCGGCGCTGCTCAGTTTTATGGACGCCTTCAGAGGGTACCATCAAATATTCATGCACCCGGCGGACGAGGAGAAGACCGCCTTCCTAACTCCAGACGGAGTTTATTGCTATCGAGTCATGCCATTCGGACTCAAAAATGCCGGGGCTACGTACACCCGAATGGTCGCCCGGTTGTTCCACCACCTGCTAGGAAAATCGATGGCCGCATACGTCGACGACATGCTCGTCAAGAGTCGAGAGGAGGACAAGCATGCGAAAGATTTAGCCGACTGCTTTAAAGTAATGATAAAGTACAACCTCCGATTGAACCCCAAGAAGTGTGCGTTCGCCGTCCAGGGCGGTAAGTTCTTGGGCTACATGGTCACCAAGCGAGGCATTGAGCCTAACCCAGAGAAAGTACAAGCCATCCTCGACATGCAGCCTCCTACTACTATCAAGGACCTACAACGCCTGACCGGACGACTGGCTGCTCTCAGCCGTTTTTTGAGCAAATCGGCGGATAAAACTGTGCCTTTCTTCGAAGCCATGAAGAAAAAAGAGGGATTCGCTTGGACTATCGAATGCCAACAGTCGTTCGAGGAATTAAAACAATATCTGTCGACTCCCCCAGTACTGTCTACCCCCCAGGAGGGCGAGCCCTTGCTGTTGTACCTCGCCGCCTCGGCTAAAGCGGTAAGTTCGGTGTTGGTTCGAGAGGAGGACCGAGTCCAGCACCCGGTTTACTATGTAAGCCGCTCACTGAAAGCTGCTGAGACACGGTATACCGTCCTGGAAAAGATCGTGTATACCTTGGTGGTCATCGTGCGCAAGTTGGCACCTTACTTCCAAGCCCATACCGTCCGGGTCCTGACGGATCAGCCACTCGGGAGTGTGTTACGGAACCCCTTGTCCTCCGGCCGGCTGGTAAAGTGGGCCGTCGAGTTGACTCAATACGGGATCGAGTACCAACCCAGGCCCTCCATCAAAGGCCAAGCTTTGGCCGACTTCCTGGTCGAGTGTACCGCGAGTGAGGAGGAGAAGGAACACGCCTCGGAGAGCAATCCGGGCGAGTGGTGGGAGATGCATGCGGATGGAGCATCAAGTCGACAGCACTGCGGAGGCCGCATTGTGCTCATCACTCCGGAGGGATTTCGGCTGTATTACGCCTTGAGGTACCTGTTCTCTGCATCGAATAACGAGGCCGAGTACGAAGCAGTATTGAACGGCCTCCGACTCGCCAAGGATCTAGGAGTCGGACGGCTACGAGTCAAAACCGACTCCCGACTAGTAGTCGGGCAGATCTCGGGTACGTGCGAAGCTAAGAACGCGAGGATGGCGTTGTACAAAGAATGTGCCACCGAAATGTTGAAGGGGTTCGAAGCTTATGAAATAGAATACATATCCCGGACGGACAATGTAGAGGCCGACATCTTGTCTAAAATCGCCCTGGAAGGGGTGCCGGACCACTTAATAAAGATTTGCCAGAAGGAGGAGCTAAGTCGGCCAAGTATCGAAGAGGCGCCGCTAGATGTCCAGCAAGTAAACATCGAAGGGTGGGATCGAGAGAAAAACCTTGAGATGTTCTGGATAGATGACATTCGGCGATTCAAGGAAACGGGCGAGTTGCCAACTGACCCAGCAGTCGCCGCGAGGGTTCGGCGGAAAGCCCCCTCCTTCCGGATCGTTGACGGAGACCTATATAAACAGTCGTTCGGAGGACCCCTGTTGAGATGCCTACTTAGGCCTGAGGCCGAGAAGGTAATGGATGAAGCTCATAGAGGCATTTGCGCGGCGCACCAGGGCGCTCACACGCTCGCCCGAAAATTGGTCGTTCAAGGGTATTACTGGCCGACCATGATGCGAGACTGTGTTGAACGGATGTCCAAATGTGGCGTTTGTCAGGCATTCGCCAGGAAGGACACTCGGTCAGCCACCTTCTATACACCGGTCACCACTGCCATTCCCTTCGCCAAATGGGGAATAGACCTGTTGGGACCATTACCCGTCGCCCCGGGAGGAGTGAAGTTTTGCGTCGTGGCCATCGATTACTTCACCAAGTGGGTCGAGGCGGAACCCTTGGCTACCATCACCGAGTACCAGTGTCGACGTTTTCTGTGGAAAAAGGTGATCTGTCGCTTCGGTTTGCCCGAGCACATCGTCAGCGATAACGGGCGACAGTTTGATTGCCAGGCATTCGCCGAATTCTGCCGCCGACACGGCATTAAGCATACCAAGGTGTCGGTGGCCTACCCCCAAGCAAATGGGCAGGTTGAGAATGTGAACCGAACCTTGGTCGATGGGATCCGGAAGAAACTCGAAGACGTTCGAGGAAACTGGGCGGACGAGCTTGATCGAGTCCTATGGGCCTATCGCACTACCCAGCGGCGAGCGACGGGAGAGAGTCCGTTCTCGCTCGCATACGGCTTTGAGGCCAAGGTTCCTGTCGAAGTGGTCGAACCCACCCACCGGGTTCGCACCTACTCGGACGCAGCAAATGAAGAGAGCCTGCAGATTGAGAAAAATTTTCTAGAAGAAAGAAGGGAAGCCGCGAGTGCGCGAATGGCTGAGTACCAGCAGGCAGTAAAAAGATACCGCGACCGTAGAACTCGCCCGCGAACCTTCCAGGTTGGCGACCTAGTGCTACGGGATCGACAAGCCAGCCAGCCTACCGAAGGAGGCAAGCTCGCGGTCAAGTGGGAAGGGCCATACCGCATCGCGGCTGTAGTTCAGGCCGGAACTTACAAGTTAGAGACCATGGAAGGCAAGCTTATAGATCGTATATGGAATGCTACACATTTGAGAAAGTTCTATCAGTAGCCAATGATAGGTCATGTATGAGATCAAGGATTCCAAGAGATCTGAATAAAGTGCGTGGATTGCAGCCAATCGTCCCAGGGACTCGGCGAGAGAAAGATAGGAAACAAGGGCCCAGGCCCTTAGACGTTTCCGTGAAAAAGCCAAAAGGAGTCGCCTCGACTGAGGGACTCGGCAAGTATATATATATAGAAACAACGGGGCACTGACCCTGAACCGTTTCTGAGAACAGAAAAAGCCTAAAGGGTCGCCTCGACTGAGGGACTCGGCGAGAGAAAGATAGGAAACAAGGGCCCAGACCCTTAGACGTTTCCGTGAAAAGCCAAAAGGAGTCGCCTCCACTGAGGGACTCAGCAAGTATATATAGAAACAACGGGGCACTGACCCTAAACCGTTTCTGATAACAGAAAAAGCCTAAAGGAGTCGCCTCGACTGAGGGACTCGGCGAGAGAAAGATAGGAAACAGGGGCCCAGACCCTTAGACGTTTCCGTGAAAAAGCCAAAAGGAGTCGCCTCGACTGAGGGACTCGGCAAATATATATGGAAACGATGGGGCACTGACCCTAAACCGTCTCCGAGAACGGAGAAAGCTTAAAGGGTCGCCTCGGCTGAGGGACTCGGCAAAAGGAAGCTAGGAAACGAGGGCCTCGACCCCCGATCCTTAGACGCTTCCAAGAGAAAAGCGTAAAGAAGTCGCCTCGACTGAGGGACTCGGCGAGAAAGGGCTGGGAGACAAATTGTTTCTCGGAGGAAGCATAAAAGAGTCGCCTCGATTGAGGAACTCGGCGAGGAAAAAGTAAGGTTCAAAACCTTAGAAGAATGCCAATATTAAGAGAGCCCCAAAAACAAACTTCGTAAAAAAAAAAAAAAGAAGAAGGGAAAGCTGTTTTTTATTAAAAT